TCCCTACATTTCAGAAATTAATGTAGGTGTTTTGTTTCCTATTAATGATCTTCAAACCCTGAACATAAAGCAGCTCTTTCTCCTCACCGTTGCTATTGTTTCTGTGCTGACACATAGTCTGGTCCCTAATTCCTGTTCCATCATCCTACTTACTCATCACTTTGTGAGGTAAAGTACACTTCATTCCAAGCACAAGTCACTGGAAAGGCTGAATTCTCTGGGGTGAGACTGACAGAAGTCTCCTGCTTCTGGCTGGAGATCAAGGACTGATAGAAATCCAGATGCAGATACAAGGTGGACATGTCCCTTTCCTTGGTTATTGCTTCCATTATCGCTCAGCTCCAGACAATATTCATCTGTTTGTCACATCTAGTGGTACATTTGCAATTACTTGAAAATATTTCAGGCCAATTCCTGCAATTCCAAGAATCACCTGCAGTGCCCAAGAGATGGAGTAAGTTATCATGGCAAAACTGCTTATTCTGCTCAAGTAGTTCCTGTTGGGGAAGATAATCACCTTTGCATACACAAGTTTGACAGAATCCACTGGATAACACAGAAACAAAGAACTCCAAGTCATCTGAAGAGATTTAGGGGACATCCCAAAAGATCTGCAATAGGTACAACCTCCACAAGAAACCTTCAAGTTACCTGTTCCCTGTCTAAGTGCAGACAAATTCAGCTGAACCACATCTAACTTACAGCGTGCTGAGAACTAACTTGCTAAGGATCTGTGCTTGGCTTTATTCCCAGTTAGGAATGCATTGTCTCAGCATGGATTTTCCCCCATGTTTTAGGCAGTGTGTGACTTGATTTTCTAAAGAACTGCTTAAGTGCCTAACCTGAGAGATTTACCAGCCCCACAGCAAGGAAGCTCTGGTGAAATGCTCACCAGTTCCTGCTCTCAGTGTCTCAAGTACCCGAGCTAATCAAAACAGACCTGAACACTCTCAAACACAGTCTCCAGTGATGCCACAGTCCAGCAACACCAAAAAAACCCAAGTCAGAGCCAAGAACCCAAGTTTCACACCTAGAAAAGCAGGCGATAAGGCCCCAAATCAAGGCTTGGCAGAATCATCGTTCCCCATAAAGAGCAAAAACAGAACACCCTTCTTCAGTGAGAAGAGACTGTTGTGATACAGCTTTGAAGAAGGAGCCACTTCTGCATCACTTACATCACTGAAGGAGAGACAGCAGAATCCAGGAACTGCTAACGAAAACCAGGACTGAGGAAAGGGGAAAGGGTAAGGAGAATTCCAATATGTACACTGTGACTACTCATTTATGTGCTTAGCTTTGAAAGCTTTTTACCAACAACTTTCACTCCCTGCCC